CCGATTTTTCTTCTATTTGTACCAATAAGGTGGGTGTAGCACCAAAGCACAAGCATAAAAGAAATTTTATTCTTCCTTTTAGCCTCTTGACAAAGATACAGGTAGTCAATTAAAGATGATAGCCCAGTGAAGACTGACACACAAGCATTAGTTAGAGCCCTACTCAAGTCTATTAATATGAACTTAAAAGGCAGCTTTTTAGGCACGAAGTAGCCTTATAGTATCCCCCAGGATTCAGCCTCGCTGGGATTTGATCGCGTGGCCCCTTATGCAAGTCGAAACCTCTCTGTACGATTTTGATGAGATTTTGCAGACTGGTAGAATTCTGAGACGTGATTTCAATTCTGGAATATGGTTGAAATCTTAGCGATAAATTTTGAGAAAATTGCCGTCAAAATCACTGTTTCCATAGCAAAGCTCGACTCGTCAACGAAAAGGGAAGAGAGAGGGGGGAGCCGAGCCAAACCCAACCAATAGCATGGCTCCTTTTCGCTTGTGTACAGGTTACTCCAAAAACGGTCGCTTCTTTGAAAAAGGACGTTCGAATAAAAAACTTTCCGCGACCGTGATAGAACAGATGTAACAATAGCACAAGAGGGTTTTTTGAACGCAGTCTTTTCATTGGCACTGCCTGATGAAAACTTTTAATGGGAATGTCTTTGCTCATGCGCGGAACATTACACAGTCATACCAACATGGAAACCTACACTCATTGTGAGTTTTGTGTTTGTTTCATTTTCAATGTGTATTTTCTACCACAAAATTAATCTGTTTAAATTATGACATTATATCTGAATATATTTTGAGGACACATGTTGAAGAAAAGATTTAAAAATGTTGAAAGAATAGAACAATTTTTTCATTTATCAACTCTTTACTGAATCAATAAAACAAAATTATATTTCTTAGCTCTGTCTTAGCTCTAGTTTTTGTTTGATGTTTCTTTTCATTCAGTTAGCACGATGACCACATCGCTTCACCTCGCGACTTTCAGTGCTCATGTTCCTCGAACAAGACTCACCTGCGATTCGAAACCATCCCTACTGAGTTTATAAAGTTTGTCAAACCAACCGTCGTGGTGTTATTACGTTGTGAATGAGAACTATTACACAGAATTGAAGAAAACATGACTAGAGAACCATAGCCTTTTGAAACAAGCCAAACAATTCAACGTCAGCAACAATGGATGGGCAGTTTTAATGCGCGACTGCTGGTGCTTTCAGCTTCGCGATTTTCGCAAGGGCGCAGACACCGAGAAACTAGTTGCCAACCCGTGAAAATTAATTTACTGCCTTCTTTCTGCCAAGAACATTTTAATGATGATGGACTTTAAAGATGTTCCATTGTTAGAACACTGCGGAATACATTAGCATTGGAATTTTTTGAATTTACCAGCATTTCGATTTCTATTTGTCAAGTTTAAATTTCGACGGGTGGCACATCGACCACATTGGTACCACTGCCATTGGTAGTCCCCTGAGCCACAACTTCACAACACCACTTCTTTTCTTTCTCCACAATTTTACACAATAATCAAATTGACTTCGTGACTCCTAGGATTTCTTGAAATCGTATTTTTTCTCTTCGTCACTCTTTCAAAGTGTGTCCTCAAACGAGACAGCCAGTGTGCAATCTCATACTCATGATGGTCGTTCATGACGCACGTACTGACTGGACTAGGAGGGTGGTCTTTCTCGTCTCGTTTGAGGCACAAATTATAGGTGAAACCTTTCTTCTCATCATCGAAAGTTGCGGGCTTAACTTCACTGCCTACAAGGGAAGGAAATTAAACAGTGAATACAGCTCATTCTTGACCAAAATTTACAGACTTTGTGCGAAGACAATTACAAGACCAAACATCTCACCTGTGCTGTCCAGGAAAGCACCCAGAACTTTCTGGTACGCTGCTTCATCAAGGATGTGAAACAGTTGGTTTTTTGTGGCCCAAGCAACTTGCAGTGGCACTTCAGAAAGCAAAAATACAGAAGCTTCTCCATATTTCAGGTTGATGGCCTTTGCATTTTTTGACAAATTCAGCCAGCGGTTGTTGTCCAACCTTTCCAATTTCCTTGATTCATAGGCAATATGCCTTAAGGCCCCTGACGTCGGAGCATTAGTAAAATTTCCTGCTTGTAAGTCTGCTTTCCCCTTGGGATCAGCCACTTTTGAAGCCAACAGTTTGCGTTTTACCACCTTGGCTCTTGAATTTTGTACTGTTTTTGCCAATTTTTGTCTCTTCTCTTTTCCCCGTATTTGAGCTCGAAACGGTTCATCTCTGTTGTGGTTTGGTTCCCCTGTTCCTGCAAACAAAACACAAAAATTTAGAAAAATATTTTGAAAAATTTGGGGAGTTCTAACAAAACCAAGAGGAAAAAAAATAAAAAAAAATAAAACAATAGAAATGGGGGGGGGAACACTTCTCTTATTTACTTAAATACTAAACAAGTACATAAAATTGTAACATAAAACCATTACCACTATCATTACATTAATAGAACAGTAAAGATTTGAATACAAAGAAGACAAGATACCTCACACCAATATCAGCTTATAAACTTGTGATACAAAAACAATCTGTTTAGATTTAAACAAGTAAAAAAAGTAAAGGCCAAATGGTATTAAAAACAAACGACACGTTCTTTACATTTTGCACAGCATTACACATCACCCTACACAATACACGTTATTAGACCTTAATTGGGGTTTGGTGTATATGAAGGGAGAAAATAACAGGTAAAGAGGAAAATACAAATTATTAAAAAAAAAATAAAAAATAAACCCTTTTGACTGACACATGATGAATTATGAATTATGAACAAATCAAATATCAAGTATCTCCAATGGACTGCCCAGAAAATTTGGAAATAAAAAAATGGACTAGAGCTTTTTTGCAGAGCATATTTGCACCAGAAATTAAAACTAGATTTGTTTTAGGAAACTTTCAATTATGAAGCAATATTAATATCATCAAAACCATTTTAAGTCCTTTGGTGCACTGAGACAATGCACAGTTACTCAAACATATTATAGACTGTTCAGTTCTTTTTCATTCTTTCATATTTTTCTCTGCAGACTTCGAATAAGCTGGGATTAGTAACTGTATGTTGGAAGTGTACCAATCACAACACAACAGTGCTCAGCAAACTCAACAGTGTACTCAGTACACTCTCTTTAGCGTGTACTGACGAGTACACTCTCTTCAGCGTGTACTGACGAGTACACTTTCTTCAGCGTGTGCTCACAAGCACACTCCCACGAGCGTGTACTCAACTGCATGTATTTCCAGGATCCGAGCACACTCTCGTAAGCGTGTACTCATCTAGGTACACTCTCGTTGGAGTGTACTCATCAAGCACGCTCTCGTCAGAGTGTACTCATCTGAGTACACTGTTGTCAGAGTGTTCTTGTGAGTACACGCTGAAAAGAGTGTGCTGAGCACACTGTTGAGTTTGCAGAGTGAGCTCCTTCAACATGTTGTCTATGTTGAAGTACAGCAATTACAACAATACCACAGTGAACTCCTTCCCACATTGTCTGAAAACCATACAATACAAACTCAACAACAAAACCAACAACAGATTTTAGAAAGGAATAGGGATAGGAAAGAAATAAGGAGACTTAATAGAACAAAAACAAAACTGCGAAAGGCAAGAGTTATTACTCTCTTTTCATTGAGTTTATCGAAAGATAATAACACTCTAAACAAGGATTACAAGGAAGTAATAAGCTCAAAGTCCTGGTGAGTTCAGGACAAAAGAAAATTACTATTGCATTCTAAAATGTATGAACCATTATTTAAGAGCTCCCTTCCCTTCTCACCTACAATAAATGGTGACAGTTATAATTAGTAACACCCTTTCTTTGCTCCTCTTCAAGACTAGCAAAAAAAGGCTGTTCCACAATGTCAATGTTTGATAGTTTTTATGTATCTCATCTTCTATTGTAGTAGGATGGACTTGGATTTAGTTGATTGAATGAACCACACGTAACTTATCCTTTGAGCTCTTTTGGACGAGAGAGAGTATGTGCAGGTTTATTGAGTTATAGGCAGTACATGATTATAGACCCTCAGCTTATTGACAGATGCGAGTTACCAACCTAAATCCTAAATATCTCAACACACTCCCTTAACGAGCATTTTAAAGAATTAAAAAAAAAAAAAAAACAATATAGTTATAGAATCCGGATTCCGCCGATCCCGGCACCAATGTTATGTTCTTGCTTTAAAGCTCCCCTGCTTCTGCCGCCTCTGCCGCCGCCTCGCCAACCAAACAACAGAACACACTTAAACGCAAGGGATTTCTCATCCCAGATCGTCCAAGCCTCGCAGCAGGGTACCGGCGGTCAGACTGCAATACTGCAATAGTCAGAGACCTCTGGTGGCTGAGCTGGAACTAAACATAGCGGGCGACGGAGCAGCGGGTTTTTCAAATTGGAGTTCTCTGTTTGGCCATGATTTTGTGCTTTTATTCGTATATTGCGCTTTTAAGTGAATAAAATGGGTGTGACTTTTCAAAAATAAATGCCGCTCGCTGTTGTAGAAAAACGCTGTCTTGTATCAGATGCCTTTCTAATGGCTAAGAATGAGAAAGAACGTCCAGACCTAACCTAGTCGGCATGTTGTCGGTCCGCGCCATGCCTCCGGTGGCGTCTGCTCCAAGCGCTGACACGGGGAGGAGGGGAAAAGTGGCTAAATATTAAATTTAACAAATTAGAATTGCTAAAATCACGCTCATTTGAGGTCATAGGAGTCCATAGCTTCCGTAGAGAATAAAGTCACAGACAAACATAGTATAGAATCTAACGAAAGTACATTAATAACGAAGAAAACAAGCCACCTGTTTCGAAAATGGCGGTGCTCCGTCGCACGCTATCTGGGGGCGACGGTGCTGCGCTCTCGCGTCGTTGCGGACGCGAATAGAACTTGACAGGGCTTCTCTTTTGTTCGCTGCCGTCCGTCGTTGATCGTGTGTGCTGTCGCTCTATTCCTGCTAATTTCTTGCTCGGTCGTGTTTGAGTCTTTACCCATCGCTGTGGAAATGCCCAAAAAGTTACAAAGGCGATTTGGAGTACAGACTTTTGAAATAAGTGAAGATGAATTTCTCAATCCCGGGGACCTGTTTGACTTAATGGTCAAGGACCCAAACGTTCGCAAGACAGGATGCTTCGTGGTGAGTTAATTGCATGTTTGAACTATGCGTAAGGTTTGGGTTAGGCCCTCGAAGTTACTTGAGCGAAATGACCTTCGGAATTGAAGCTCGTTTAACTTAAACTATGTGCAACACCTTCTTTTTTTAAAATTTGAGGTTAGGTACCTCTTGTCGTGTTCCACCGTAACCTTCAATTATGGAATGCATGACTGTTTCTATTCCTTTGCAGGGGAGGCTGAAGGGGGGGCCAACCCTCACCGAAAACTACATTGCAGAGGTGAAGGATTTGGTTGACGGTGACAATGGGTTTCAATTTTTTAAACCCCTTCTGATCCGAAGAAAGGCGGTGTGGCGAGAGCTGGGGTTCTTCTACGTAACAACAGAGGAGGAAGGGGCCACACCGAGTCAAGTAAGGACTCTTGCAACGAAACGGAATGTATTTAAGGAAACATTCCTCAATATGAATTTTGAGGAAACTCCAAAGAGCCATCTGTAAGTTTCATCAGCCTTCGTTGGTGACATAAGGGGGGGGGAGTGTTATGGCATTATTTTTTCTAATATTCTTTGTCCCTTTACAGTCAAGAGGTCCTGGAATCACGCGGCGTTGGGCCGTGTATAGACGCGTTCTATGAACACCTCTCCAGGAATAACACGCCTATACTTTACGCCGCAAATGTAGATTCCGTAGAGCTTGGAAAGGCGCAGAAGAAGGCGGTCAACCTTCAAATTACACAGAATGTCAGCATGGGCAAAATGGAGTCGCTCATCAAGTACCTTGTGGGTGGGAAGCATCCAGGCATTGTCACCCCTACCTTGTACATAGGAAACGAGGCGTCTTCATTCCAGTGCCATCATGAAGATGTTTCATTTGAAGCTGTCAATATGCATGTCGCCGGGGCTCCCAAGATCTGGTAAGTCATATGATACAGGGTGAGTTTTCTCGATATGTCAATAATTTGTGGGCAGCTTGCGCAGCCCGAGGGGATCATTTTTCACCAATGAACTAGTGGGCGCAATCGTCTAGGAACGGAGATAATTGGTATTTTGTAATGGGCGTTCGCACCTGCGAGATACGCGCCCGCTGCCACTGAGGGTCACAGGACCTCACAAAAGGGTGTCACGGGTCGTGAAGTGATGCTTCGAGACTCGCGGGGGTGCGTCGGACCTTGCAATTGTCAATTCGAGGGAGTTGTCGAGGGTCTCAAGTAGCTGTCATGATGGCCTGCGTAACAGTGGATCTCGCGGCTGTATTCGCGAGGGTAGTAGGACTCCACGGAAACTTCCGAAGTCAGTGGCACTCTTGCGAGTGCTGCGAGTCCCTTGACACCCCCTCGTGAGGTCCTGCCACCCTCAGTGGCAGTGGGTGCCTACCTCGTAGGTGCGAAAGTAAGTTGCTAAACACTAATTATCTCCGTAACTAGACGTTTGCGCCCACTAGTTCAATGGTAAAAAATGATCCGCTAGGGGTGCCTTAGCTTCCTCCAAATTATTGACACTTCGAGAAAACTCACCCTGTATATTCTGACAGGGTGTGCGTATGTTTTTTTTTTTTTTTTTTTTTTTAGGTTTGGAAAGACGATGACATCTGGTCGTTACTAGACTGTGTATTGAACTATTCATCACCCCCTGCAGGTTCGTCGTTCCCCCACGTTATCGGCGAGCCTTCTGTGTCCAGCTTTCAGCAATGGGGTTAGAGCGCGTTGATCTTGCGTGCGCCAATTTTTTACAGCACAAGTTTTACTTTTGTGACCCACGAGTGATCCTGAGCCAGAAAATTCCAGTTTACACGGTACGTTCAATTCAGTTTATTGGGTGATTCCTGTTTAAGGGGAGGTTCCATTGGAAATCTTACATTATTCACTTTTTTCATTAATAGCAATTTTAAAGTATTTCATAGAAAATAGCCAAATTTGAAGTTTGGATAGCAATACCTAGGCCCTAATTAAGTCAAAAGAAGGAATTTTCTGCTATTTTCATTCGTTTCTTGAGAAATTCTCCTACGCAAAGTATTTCAACGTAAACTGATGTTCTGGGCAGACTTTACTTATTTGGTTTCTTCCTGATAAACCCTTTAATTTAATAAGTTACTGGGACCATGACAAAATCATCAGCCTTTTTTTTTAAGACAGCATGTTCCTAAAATCTCAAGAAATTGGTAAAAATCCTGATAATTCAGTGTCTTTTTTACTGAAAAGCAACGTCAAAATTAATCTGTTGTGTCCCATCTCTTGGTGATGCCACGTCTTATTGCATATGATGCAAAGAAGTAAAAAATGTCCAGAACATCAGTTTACGTTGAAATACTTCGCGTAGGAGAATTTCTCAATATATTGCTAAAGTAGGTTGTAAGAACCTCTCGGACTGGATTCGGAGGAAGGTATTGGGCTCTAAATTTCTTGTTCTGTCAACTATGTAGTACCACACAGCTGCAACCAATGTTTACACTAGGGCTAATTTTGACAAATGCAATATTTTCAGTAGACCCTTTCCTGAAACTCCATTCAACAAATGACATCCAGTTTCTTTTTTTTTTTTTTGGCGGACTGTCTAGATTGTTCAAATGCCCGGTGATACGGTGTTTCTGCTTCCAAACGCCATTCACTGGGGATTCAACGTCGGCTGGAACATCAACGAGGCCGTGAACTGCTGCTCCAAGAGCTATGCGTACCCGGGCATGCTTGCTTCACAACGGTGTCAGTGTGATGTGTGCGTATAACCATTATTGCAATTTCAATCCTCACATGCGAACTGCAGCCTTTATTCCCCACCTTATGCAATCCCTTTTCTCTTCAGTGATGCACATCTAAAGTATTTCTTCGACATCACCAAGATCTTGAAGCATGCGGGTGTGCCTCGAGACACAATATCTCTCTACAGGGAACGAAAAGTATTTCACATCTTGACAGAATTCCAAATTCTTTACCCGGACCTGGACCCAGAATCTGGGCGTCCTGGTGACTCCGAAGTTGATTTTGAAAACCTACTTGGTCTAAGCATCGATGAAAGCCAGGTAGTTGACTCACAATGCTTTCTGTACACATTCATTACAACAAAGACCGAAAAGGTTCATCATTTCTTAATGGAGGATGTGTTTCTGTTTTGCCTGTTGATTTCAGATCGGCAAGTTTTGGCAGCGATGCAGGCAGGCTCCAACATGCGACGATCATTTTCTGGGTGGCTTCCTGGAGATCGATCTCGAACAGGAAGAGAAAGAAGAAGAAGAAGAAGAAGAAGAAGAAGAAGAAGAAGAAGAAGAAGAAGTGAACTTAAATTCAAAAGGGACTCGCAAGTGTCCCAGATGTGAACATGACAGTCGAAAATACGGCGTTAAGGCAAGACTGAACATCGAGCGCCATGCCAATAAGTGTCATAGTTCTGACTTCGAAGATGTGATGGCAGAGTACGATAAAAAGTATGAAAGAACCACTAATTTTAAAACTGATTCTGTGTCTTGCCACCGCTGCCACAAGACATTCCATGGGCACACTGGTACCCTCAACAGGCACCTTGCTAAATGTACAGTACAGGACAGTGAAGCACCAGCAACCAAGAGGATGAAGCGATAAGGGTGTACTGCCTCTTGTGTTCCTCATCTTGTGCAGTATAATATGAGTCTTTGCAAAAAAATTATTTGTGGCATGTTAAGAAACACTTAAGTGAATTTCAACCTTAAAATAAGATGCCTCCCTCCTTTCTCTTATAGGTTCTAATTTTCATTCTCATTTCTTCTCATCTGCTCATGTGGCTAGAATCGAGGATTCCTTTGTGAACGAATAGTTCTAATAGTATACATTGCTCATAAAACTTTAAGACTGAATGTCTGTGATGTTTGCATAAAAAGAGTAACCTTATTGTTGCCTTTGTCTTTGCCAGAAAAGAAAGGAATTGTAAGAAAAGTGAAACATTTCGAGTGATGCTTTCAGTGCTTCAGACTCTGATGCAACAGGAAAACGTCTAACCACTGTGAAAAGTGACCTTTGAATGGAGATATGGGGCAACTACTCAGAGGCACCAGTGGCCTCGGGTATCGAACTCATTAGAGTTCATAACATAAGTTACCACCACATGTCTCGTTTCATTCTGCTAATTAATATTTTATTCACGTTACATTTACTTCCAATTTATTCTTATTATAGCAATAAATGTGTTGAACTAGAGAGATCTGTTGTTACCCGCCTTCTCGTCTTCTCCCACTCATGTATTTTTTCGTTATTTGTGTCTAATTTCACACACAGCAGCCTCCGCAGAAAACCCCTTAATTTCGTCATTCGCATTATTAAAAAAAAGAGTATTTCCTTTTGTGGACCGTTTCTGTGTCCTCATGCCTTGCATATTTAATGTTTAGTTGTGACATGTATAGTCAAGATTTTATGTGATTCTCAAATTTTTGGAAGATCCATAGAATTACATAAAAAAGGAAGTCCAACAAAACTGACATGAATTAAATTTAATGCTAAAACTCTTCGTTCATTGGCAAAACATGACAAAAAAATAATTAATGATGACAAACAGTATTTTTGAACTGCATTCACTCTCTGACACGCCGGGCAGGTTACAAAAACTTTAACTCCTGCTATATGTACTAATGTACCGCAATAGTCCTTTTTCATACCAACCTTCCAAAATTGTCATACGCAGACAATTGTCATACATCCACAACAAGTGCAATCTTTTCTCTAATATTCAATTATAAACGGTTGGTTCTACATTGACATTCGGTTTCTCCAAGCCGGTAGACAAGTTATTTTCCTCTTATTCTTGCAGGGACGTCGCTCTTCGGCCGGAGCTGTGGCGGCGACGCAGCTTTGACTTCGGGCAGCACCAAGGGGTTGACCACACTGCCAATCCAAGTGTGTGACATCAATGTCTCACACTTGCAAGCGTGAGACACGGTTTGTCCTACACTTGCAGGCGTGGGACCCGTGGCATTGAACCACAGAGCTAGCATAGCACTAGAACCGCTGACTATTTCGTATACCTAGAACCGCGGAAGGGGTCATTTTGACCCCCCATTTTTTCTGCCCGTATTTTTTATATTTTGCTCATGTTATGATGTATCTGAGATCAACAATGATATTTTGAATTATCTAGGGCCTTAAAAGGCCAAAGGTAGGCAACCCGCATGGCACGAATAACCTGTTTTGCTCCTTTTCTACCATTTTTGGCCCGTCCCGTGTATTTTTTTGTTAAAAAAAAATGATGGAGCCCTGGACGGAGTATGATCCATGCTGTGCGTCCGTCCGTTCGTTCGTCCGTCTGAGGGCTTCCCGTGGTCCGATCTTGACCAAATTTGATATGCAGCCTCCTTGGGTGACCCTTAAGAACCGCCCACTGGCAGCAAATCCGATCCGAGCCCCGGGGGCGCTGCTGCAGGTGCATAATGGTCTGCCTTAGGTCGAGGAGGATTTCGGCAACGGATACAGCTAGAAGAGCATGAAGGGAAATTTTTGGAATCGGGGCGACGAGACAAAACCAACGGTGCCAGTTTCAAGCGAATCGGAGAGGTTGGAACCCGGGTTCAAATCCTAGTGGGGTACATTTAGAACATTCTTTTTATTCGAGTTTTTGCATTGTTGTTGATGTGTATGAGGGTGCTGATCTATTTTATGCTGATCTATGCTGATCTAAAAACATCTATTTTGACCCCACTCTGCAAACTCAACAGTGTACTCAGTACACTCTCTTTAGAGTGTACTCATGAGTACACTATCTTCAGCGTGTACTCATAAGTACACTCTCTTCAGCGTGTACTCACGAGTACACTCCCACGAACGTGTACTCAGTTGCATATATTGTACCGATCTAAGCACACTCTGGCTGCAGTGTACTCAGCTAAGTACACTCTCGTTAGAGTGTACTCAGCTAAGCACACTCTCGTTAGAGTGTACTCAGCTGAGCACACTCTCTTAGGAGTGTGCTTGTGAGTACACGCTGAACAGAGTGTACTGAGCACACTGTAGAGTTTGCAGAGCAGACTCAGGTTCAAAGTCCCGTCCGGATTAAAAATAGGTGAAATTAGTACATTCCTCAACGTACGGGACGGGCCAAAGTTGCCGATGTATATCGCAACTTTTCCTGTTATTCAGTGTGGGGATGGGTACAAAGTGACGTAGATTTTTTTACCAGATGATACCTTTACACTTGAAACGTATCTAAAACTATTAGACACATAAAGGTGTCAGCGTGCTTTTACTCCTGAGTACAGAAACCAAGCGGTATCTTAACAATAATACAATAATATCAGGGTGGTGGCTGCCGGGCGGGATCGTGAGTGTCGCATGGCAGGCAGTCTGCGTGAAACATCGACAATACCTCGCGGGTACAGCGCGAGTGGCACCGGCCAACAATCCCCTGTCCCCGGGTACAGCGCGCACAGAACAGCAACAATGTCTCATAGTGCCTGGTGAACGTCAAATGATACTGCAAATCAATGTACTATGATGCCGCTTTGCACATCGATAGTTGGGGCCAAAAAAAAGGTTTTGACCCGCAGAGGCATTTGATCCGTCCCTTAGGAAAAAAGTTATAAGGGTTTGAAATTAACATGGCGCCTTACGGGGATTCCGGGTAGGCAACCCGCCGTACACATCGGCAGTTTTCGCGCAGTCCACGTTTAATTCCGCTCAAAAATGGCATTTAGAATTGGAATTTTTGAACCAAACTTCTAGCGTCGCTTGGGGAGGGTCCATAGAGCACACTCACGTCGAGAAACCGACAATATCAATCTTCACACAGAAATTATAAGCCCTAAAAGTCAAAATTTCCGGAAATTTAACAAAGCGGAGTTCAAAACCTTATAACTCAAGATTCAGCCACCCAAAACCTTGCCTCTTCGGGTCAATCTGTCAAGTGGAGTATCAGGAACAAGCCCCTGGTAGCCGATTTTCGCTAGGACCTCTAGATCTCGATTTTTGGTCGATTTTGTGCTGAGAGAGCACGGCCCGGAGCGGCGCGGGCTGGTCCGGCCGGCGCGGCGACAGCGCGATGAGCACTTTTCGGAGGCTTATTGCGAGAAGCAGGAGTGTCGGCAACACTTGCACGCTATGGCTTTTTAACTAGGTCACTCTTACTACCGATTAGGGTGGGCCGTAAAACACGATTTTTCGATATCGCAAACGTAATAGCGCGCCAAAGTTACTTCACGGCAATACAAACTCAACGCGATCTGAGCCAGGTCTGTAACTTAAAGCTTGACCCTCGCGCATCGACGTTGAAAATTCGAAAATTCGACTTTTACGTGTTTTTCTAAAAACAGCCATAGAAACTGAACCTGATGTCCAAATGATGTTTCCGAGACGGAAACGGAAACGTCTGATCATGCTTTATCAGTTTAAGACCACCGGGACCCTCTACGAGCAGTAGAGGACTTATGGGAGAAAATTACAAAATTACAATCTTTTTCCGTTTTTTATAAAACGCAAAAATTGCCTTCAGGGTTTGATACGGCCATCCTGACGTCAACGTACCCGAACCATACTCCGAATCATCTTCTCTAAGGACCCCTTCCCCGTTTTCAGCGCACGGGGTACCCCGGGATCCGTTCACACGTTAGGATTTGGACGCCAAAAACACATGTTTTACTAAAATTGCAAATTATCGATACTCAAGGCACTGTAGGGCACTCGTCTTGTCCGTATGAACTGTGGTGACTTAAAATCGATTACTAGATGGTGTCTTTTCGTCGCAGGAACCCACCAGTATATAGACAATCGGACGAAGAGACCTTTAGCACGCTATTTGCACTGTAAATCTCGTTAATCTGGACTTAAACGTATTTCAGGCCGAAAATGGCTCGTCTGGATTAACGACAGAGGGTGGTTGCTCGTTTATACGGGTTATTCTTATCCATCGTGTTGATTCTCATTTCCTTTCTCACCGTTATGTCCGTTTGCAACGGCCCAGGGAACATACTTTACTTACGCTTAGTGCGCTGTAGAGCTGAGCCCCCCGTAGACAGGCCCCTGTTTCGTTTGTCTTCGTTATGGTAGTTTCTCAATACCGTTAAACTTTGTGCGACTGCCTGCGACAGCCGCAGGGGCATGTAACGCCAGTTGACCAATTCGACACCTCCTAGGAACAAGCGGCTACCTTCCGGGAGCTTCCAGACACTCGGCTATCTCGCAGTAGCTTTCAGACACTCGGCTATCTTCCAATAGCGTCCAGACACTCGGCTATCTTCCTGAGCGCTTCGGAGACTCGGCTAACTGCTTTTCCCACTTCCCGAGTTTGGGTGCGTATATATTTTAAACCAGTTGAAATGCCGTCACCGGGACCTAACCAAAATGTGTCAAAAGTTTGTCAGAGTAGATTAAAATCATGGCGTGAGCATGTCCTGATAAGTGTAACAAAGAAAAACGCTATCGAAAGGACAACCCTAACCTCTCCGCAGAAGTCAGTTAGCCGAGTCTCCGAAGCGCTCAGGAAGATAGCCGAGTGTCTGGACGCTATTGAAAGATAGCCGAGTGTCTGGAAGCTACTGAGAGATAGCCGAGTGTCTGGAAGCTCCTGGAAGATAGCCGCTTGTTCCTAGGAGGTGTCGAATTTTGGAAGTGATGCCTTCTTACAGGTAAACATTTACCTTCGTTCTGGCGTACTGTACCTTCGCGTTTTGCTCCATTCTCCTGCGTACAGTATCAAGGTGTCAACTTATACATGCGCTGTAGGAAAAATCCACGGGAAAAATGATTCAGGAAGCGGAAGAAGGGAATAACTTGACTTATCCCCAAATTGAGTTTTTATTTTATTATTGTGCCTTAGAATGGTTTACATCATTACACCAAATTATTTGACTGAATTCCAAGCAGTTTAGGAGAAAATCCACATGGAAAAAGGGTATAACTCAACTTAACCCCTTTAACAGTCTAAATTTCATTGGAAAATGGATATAACTCAACCTTAGTCTACATGAGTCCGTTTGACAAATTGGCAAAAGGATATAACTCAACTTGTGTTTTTATGAATCTAGTGTAAAAAGAGTCAACTCAACTTAACCCCCCCTTAATTTTAAATTTCAATTTGGAAAAAAGAGCTAAGTCCAAAAAATACACCAGAGTAACATACACTTTATGTAGACTATTGTTCCACTTGACTTGTCTCCA